TCTCCAGATTCCCAAAACCGTTGAAAAATAATTGAGAGAGGTCCCACGATGATGTCAGCCAGCTCTTTAAGCATCCTGGGATGAATCCCATCCAGACCCATGGACTTGTATGGATCCAGGTGGAGCAGCAAATCCCGCACATGTTCAGGGTTGGTTAGGAGTTTGTCATTCTCACTGTTATGGTCCTCCAGCTCAGGGCACCCTGGGTCCCAAAGCCCATCATCAGCATTGAAGACAGAGGCGAAGAAGGCATTAAACATCTCTGCTTTGCCTATGTCCTTGTCTGTGAGACAAGTAGTGGACCTATGTTTTCTTTGGTTCTCCTTTTTCTGTTCACATATCTAAAAAAACTTTTTTATTGTCTCCCACAGACATGGCCAGCTTCAGCTCTAGTTGACTTTGGCCACACGAATTTTCTACCCTACAAACACAAACAGCATCCCTGCATTCCTTCTTTGTCGCCTGACCCTGATTCCAGTACACTTTCTTTTTCTGCCTAAGCTGCAGTAGAAGATCCCTGGTCAGCGAGGCCAGCCTTCTGCCCCGCCTGCCTGCCTTCTGATATTTTGGAATCACCTGATCCTGTGCTTTTAGGAGGCAGTGCTTAAAGACTGACCAGCACTGATGAACACCAATGCCTTCAAAAGCAGCTTCCCAGGGGACCTTGCTGACTAGTTCTCTGAGCAGCCTGAAGTCTGCTTTCCCCATATCCAGGGCTGAAGTTTTGGTGGCAGTTTTCCTTCTGTCACCAAAAATTCTAAACTCAACCACTTCATGAGACGGCCGCCAATTGCCACGTCCCCCACAAGACCCTCTCTCTTCTCCAGCAACAGATCTAGGAGGGCACCTTTCCTAGTTGGCTCCCTTAGTACCTGCACCAAGAAGTTATCATCTAGGTGCTTTAGGAACCTCCTGGACTTTCTCGTGTTGGCCATGTGGTAATCCCAGTTGACGTCTGGCAAGTTGAAGTCCCCCATAAGGACTAGGGGAGTTGATCTTGAGGGCCCAGAGGCTCGACCCAGGGGCTACGTTTCAAAGCAGACACCATAATGTTGTTGTTGTGTTTTTTTTCCCTTCATCCTTTGTTCCAAGCTAAACAAAAGTCCCCCCCAGACCACCAAAACTGATTGCACGTACTGACAAAGAGATGGGGAAATGTCAAGCTTTAAACATTTATTACACAGATGATGCATTTTATAGCACATAGTGAGTTGGTTTGGATGTTCTATAAACAAGACTGAATTGCCACAAAGCGTTATAAGCTCCCTTGTTTTAATAATCTTTGAAATGCTGAAAACTATGAGGTTTTGTTTTCTCTAGTATGAAGATCTACTCTTTATTCTCCCCAAAACCTTTGTCCTTTTTTTAAGCACTTAGTTTAACAAACATGATTAAATTAAAAATGTTGCTTTTTCAAATGCAAATAAATACATTAAAAAATGAATTGCTAGCATTAAATCCATGTTCTGCAGGACACCACAGCCTTGTTGGCCATCAACAGGACTTTGCAACCCTTAGAGTCGTTTCTCCTGAAAAATACTGCATCACTGGGACTGGCTAACAGATAACACCAAGAAGAGCAAAATTTGTGTAAAGCCATAAAGTACCTAGTGGGGAAATAAAAATCCTATTTCAGATTTTGAGAGACTTCCAAGTGAGGGATGTTATAAAAATAAGCAGGAAAACAAATAATAAATTATTCTCACAAGTTTTCCTTCAAAGCCATCAATCATGCCAAGAATAGATACTAATTAATCTCCTTCGGGGGAAGAGGGGAACCAGACAAATCACTTACTTTGCTTTTTTCCCCTCATTCTCATTTCACCTCTGTACAAACGAGACTTCTCCAAACGGGGGGGTCAAATCCCTCATGGGGAAACTGAGCAGGCTGCTTTGCAGACAGCCAAAGCCTCCAGTTTGGCAATAATTTGCCTGGGAAGGAGGGGACCAGGTGCTGGGATATCCATGGGGAGCAGAGCTGGCAGCTCCGGGCATCATCACGTCCTTACACCAGCCCCAGGTTTGGCCTGACATGGATTTGGCCAAAGGAGGGTGTTCTGTCCCCAAAACGCACTGCTGCCCCCACCCCTCCACATCACATTGCCGGTGGCATCTTTCCTTCCCAACAGGCAGGCTTCCCACTGAGGGACTCTAGATATGCCAGTGGCCGTACATAATTCCAGGGGGAAAAAAAATACTTTTTTGGTCAACATCTAGATTCTCACACACCAACAGAGTGAATGACATACCAAGTTACCAAGCGGTGAGTGGCTGGATGAATGGACCTTAACAGCGGAGACAGACGACAGACATTTAAAAAGACAGGTTTCACAGGAAAATTCTTCCACGGGAGAAATCCCAGCATTGGAGGGCAAAGCCATAGGCCGAAGCTCCTCCAGGCTTTTCCATTTTTATTTTTTTTTTTCCTTTTTGTCTTTTGCTGCATTCAGAGAGCAGGCCCCGAGGGATGTTACGGTGTGGAGTGGGATGCAGGGAAGCTCTTCTGGCCTTCAGAAATCCCCCAGCAAATCTTTTTCTCCAGTCTTCTCCCCAAAGTCTGAAAGAGTAGCAGCACCTCTCTAGCCCCAGCTACCTCATTAATGTTTCCAACCAGTGGGGTCTAATTTACATCAATCGACTGCGTGCAGCTCACACATCGGAGGCTGTCATGACACTAAAGGTCCCTTGACAAATTGTCCTCACTACAGGTAATTTCACTCCATTTGCTCAGTTTAAGCCCTCGCTCCTCCTCCATTCCCCACCCGCCTCTTGGCTGGGGCCCAGGCTGCTCTGGGGCTGCTGACGGCAACTTTCCGGGGTCACACCGACATTCACGCCTCTGGTCCTCCACTCCCCGCAGGGCCAAGCGGCTGGGAAGGCCAAGAGCAAGGGCACAGCCCTCAGCTGTCCAACACCGACAGGTCTGATGCAGTCCAGCTTCGTGCTAACACCTTCCGACCTTTCTGCTTTTCTGCGGCAGTGCTAACACAGCTGCCGGGCCTACATCCCCAGTCCAGGAATCAGTCTGTGCAGACATGGACCACTGAAGCTCCTCTTTCCAGCTCCTTTCCTCGTGCTCCTTTCCTCGTGCTCCACGTGCAGATTAGGAAACGCTCCCACAGCCAACCTCATGAAAAGTTCAAGTCGTGCCAAACCACATGGCCAGGATGCTCAGCTCTTGCACATGTGCACAGGGAAGGTTTCTACCCTTCAAGCTGCGTGGCAGGGAAGCCTCCTGTCCCTCGCACACAGGCCGGTAGCTCCCTAAGGCACGTGAGATGGGGATGGCACCGCGGGGTCAGGGCTTCTTCGGCTCCTCTCCCACTTCACCAAAATGAGCACCGGCAGGGATTTCATGTGTACAAGCATCGGCAGAGAAGCAAATAAGGAAACACCAAGTCCTGACGTTTGCTAGTTGCTATTCACTTGCCATCCATGCTCAGGGCTCTTCCAGCTCTGCTGGGCGAACACCTCTCCAAATCCCCCATCATCTCCCCATCTCTCCCTTCTCACCATCTCTCCCACCTCCCCAGCACCAGCCCAGCCACCCCAGCATGCAGCAAAGCAGGGTCTCCCTGCTCCCCACTTCACCCTGCTCCCTCCGAACACGTCACCCTGCACTTGGGGACATGGTACCACTTATTTACACCGACCAGGGCACACAGCCGTGCCTCTACAATGCACACCTACAAATACTGGATAGGAAATGAAGCCAGTTAGAAGCCATGCTCAAAACCTGTATTTTTGGCTTTTCATTGTTTTCCTCTTCTTTTTTTCCCTCCTTTTTTGCCATGTACTTCTTGTCTTCTCTCTACTGGTTTCCCAAGAACATCAAGTCTTCATTTCTCCATTGCCCTGTACATTACTAGGCCCGACTACAACGGGCCTGGTTTGAAATGTATTATTACAACCATGACAGTAATTACAACAAAGCACTCTTTCAACAGAAACAAAAAAATTACAAAAAATGAATGGGTTATAGTTTAGTGGATGGGGGATGCCATGGCTTTACCAGCCAGAGCAAATAGCTGCAGCTTCCCGTGTTTCTTGGAGCTCCCAGCTCAGGGCACACATTTTTCAGTTAATCTGCGAGATTACTGGCAAGACAACTGTGGCTATATTAATTCTACAGTGGCTTTTGGGCTCCTTAAAAATCCTCCTCCTACTTCAGCATCTTCACGTAAACCATTTGTGAGCTTGCAGGAAGGCGTCACTTCCATGTCTCCGTGCTTATTGCAATTGTCTATTCACAATAAAATAAAATAGAATAGAATAAAATAAAATACAAATGACCAAGAAAAATAAAACCCAGTGCAAATAAGAAAACCTTCCTGCTCGCCGGTTGGCATCTGAAGGGGAGACGAGTAGACAGAGGGGAGGTGGGGGAGCAGAAAGTTGAAGATAAGGGGGGGGGGAAAGCTCCACTTGACAAAAGCCGTCAGTGATGAGTGTCTGGTAGTATGTGTCGTACTTTGTCCTCCCGGGACAACTGTCGCCTGCCAGTTGGCCAGGGCAAGCCAGGAGAACAGTGTGAAAACAATACTTGCCCCCACTCAGGCTCACTTTTCCAACTCGCTGTCTTCTTTCTAAAGCCAAACAATAACCTGGCGGGATGCACTGCTGCTGGAGCAATGAGTTCATAAAAGAAACCCTAAAACAAAAACATGGCAGGGAAGAGGGGTGGCACTTGGCGACACAGCTGAAAAGAAACATGCTTCTCCCTCCCCACCCCACGAACGTATTCTGGAGCATGCTGGGGTTTGTCTGCTTAAGTATTTAAATCAGAAAGGTGCTTGCCTGGCTGCGAGAGCTGGATCCTGCTAAGGTGTATGTCTCCTTCTCGCCCCTTCCCACCCCTCCCTGCCCTGCCCCTCAGGCTGTCAGTTTTTGGATTGTCTTGTTGTAGTACTGCATGATGGTAGGTGTCAGCGGGTTCCAGTTGTTGGCATGCAGCTCGATGACCTCCAGCAGGAGGGACCGTGTCAGCATGGACTCGGAGGGGCACAGCATCTTGTCGCGAGCTATGGCCAGCATCTCCGTCATCATCTCAGGCAGCTGCTCCTCCAGCAGCCGGCCGGTGCTTTGCAGCTGTTGGGAGAGAGGGGGTCAGAGGTGGCTTGTTAAAGTGTGAGCTGCCGCCATGGCTTGCGCTACTGTTGTGTAGCTGGGGGGCAAGGGTCAGGGGGATCCTCCTGGGCAGCCAGGACAGCTGGCCCCATGTTGGAGGGGTGGAAAGCTGCTTGGCACTGCTGAAAATGTGATGCTGGCAGGAAGGAAGCAGGACACGAGCTACAGATGCTGCTGTGTCATGGCTTGTGGGCATGCACCGAGCCAACTCCAGCAACAGAGAGGCAATATTTACATAGTAGGGCTGTTTTCCAAAAATATGCAGCCTGCTCTTTTTTTTTTCACCCACATTTCACACTCCCCCAGTTTTCCCCCGGCTGGGCAATGCTGAGATGCTGCTGTTGGTGAGAAATGCAGGCACCCCGCAGCACACTCCCCGATGCTGCCCAGAGCCGTGTGCTATGGGTGAAGCTTTCGAAAGCACTCATGCCGGGCTGCTGTAAGAGTGAATGGTTCAGCTCCCACTGACTTCAAAGGTGGCAGCACTGGGTGCTTTTGAAAAATACCACCTAAAAATCAAGCTATTGTCAAAACAAAGTGCATGCTGTGATGTGGTATTCCTGCCTTTTACCTGCTCCCTCATTTACATGCTGATTCACAGCTGTCAGTGACTCCCAGTCATTAATCTGATTAAGCAGGGCTCTCCTGTATGCATAACAAATTTTGCCCTTTGCACAGCAGCAAGGTCTGCATTTCCAGCCATCGCACCTCTTCTCCAAGGATGGCCAAGTGTTTTTAAAGCAGTGTAAACCACAGAAAACCCCATCTCAGGCTTGTGAGGCATCAGGGATTTGATTGGAGAGTTCTCAAAAGTCCTGACTTTAAAAATGCAAACTTCCCTCTTCAGCTGCCTGCCACTTTGCTGAATTTCAACCATCCAGATGCAATTTTTCAGCCTACTTCAACCTCTCTCTTCAAGACAAGCATCAGTTCCCATGGGCCAATCACTTCCAAAAAGCGAAGCTAATGAAACTTTGCAATTCCACCCGTGCTATATTTGTACCATCGTTTCTCTGCAAAGCTTTCTGAGCACAGCAAGCCTCTCTGCGGGAGCCACCGCCACTGCATGAGCAAAGGCAGTGTGACGGAGCCTTTGGTCCAATACAGGTGGTTTTGTGCTTAAAAAATACCACAGGGTGAGATCTGAAGGAATCTGGAAGAGATTCAAAGGAACCAGGATGATAGGAATTAGTTTTGTGGTGAGACCCTGGCTAGCAAATTTGGTTGCATCCATTCACACGCATTGGAAGCACAGTGACAGCCGCCTCTCTTATCCCATGGTGCTGTCTTTTGTATTTGGGTGTAATGCAGCCAGGTAACGTGGCTCTGGGTTTGGGCACGTGCACAGCCAAGGACAGAAGGGGCAGAGCAACGAGGAGGGGTGGGTGGCATCAGAGCTTCCCTACCTCCATGGAGCAGCAAAGCACGGCGTCCTCCTTCACGTCCTGAGATTGTAACAACTGCAAGAGAGAGGAGAGAAAATGAAAATGTGCAAGTGAAAATGTGATGAGTGAAAATGCGCGACCTCCTCCTCCCACTGGATCTTTTAGATTAACAACTTTCAGGATAAATTTCCATTAGTTTAACAAGGCTTTTTTTATCCCCCCGGCAGGTAATGAGAAAATACACTCATTCCACGTACATGGCCAGGAAACACAGCCCTCGAATGACTGTACCCAGGCAGCAGAGCAGCCCTTTGGGAGGGAAGGGCTGTGCTGGTCTCTTGCCCAAGGGCTGCCCGCTCACGGCCGAGCCTCCCCGTCCCGCTGGGACGGTCTCCCAACAGCCACGAAATTACCCGATGGCAGAGTGCGAACGTCCGGTGCATTGTGAATATGGCTCCTTCCAGGCTGATTATATATGGTTGCAAGCACAATGGTTCCAGTGAAACTGTTGTGTCTCAGGTGTAAACTTTTCTTCTGGAGCAATGCTGCTTGCTGAGAGCATGGGATTTTCCCTGGTCCCTTCTCACCATCTCATCCCCCCTGTCTGAGGCCTCAAAGCAGTGAAGGGGGATCTCCGTCCACATTTTGGCATTTTATTGGCTATGTTTTCAGCCACTTCCCCACTTTGGGAACCAACTCCAGGCCCTGTTCTGCTCTCTGTGATCTTTGCATTACAAAGACAAGCTGGTAGGCACAAGCAGCTTTCAAGAGAAAGCCCAAATGGTGCCATAAGGTCAGACATTGATGGTGTGGGATGAGGGAAGATGCCTGTGCAACTCCCAGTCTACCAGTTCCTTGCTGTGTGTTGATATCTTCCTGGGGGCTGCTACCTCACTCTTCACTCTTGTTTCAAACCTGGTGCATGTGGTCAGGGGGCAGCGTCCACCTGGCAATGGCAAAGCACAGGAGCTCAGCCTGTCCGACTCCACAAAACCAGGGGCCGTGAGCAAAACTGGATCAAAACCACTTATATTTTTGCTAGCACATGCTTCTTTGTTGTCATCTTCGCTTTCTGACTTTGTCATGTGCACAAAGATGCCGTTTCAGGCTTTCTGCTCAAACCACAGGAGATAAAGTACAGTTGCTTTCCAAGCAGATAAAAGCCGAGATTCTCAGCCAGCTGACACAGGGAGCTGGGGTATTGTGAACAACATGTCATCGCAAAGTGCATGATAAAATCACAGGTGCTGGCAGCACTGGGAGTTACAGCCACTGCCACTCCACTGGGCTTAGAAATCGGTGTCAGTGTAGCCATGTGCCACTGGTCCTGAGCTGCTCCCTGGATGCATGCACTACACGTGGAGAAAATGGAGAAAAATTGGGAAAACTGACTTCACTAGTGTCCGAAATTCATCAGGGAAAGCCATACTTGGGAAAAGCTGCTGGACTAATTACAGCTGTCCATGTACAACACCGCTCAGTGTAACTGGTTTTGCTCTGAAGTCACACTTCTTAGCTAACACCACAGCTTTGCTGCTCAGTCTTAATCATCTCTCCTTCCCACTCATTTTTTCCTCTTTCCCTTCCTTTCCAAATAAATGCCAATTTGTTTACAGGCCCACAACTGCTGGAAAAAAAAAAAAAAGAAAAAAGAGGTAACTTGAGGAATTATCATTGGTCTCAAAGTTTTGTCTTCACTGTCTTCTGCTTTCTGCAGACAGCAGTTTGTTTGCTTTGAAGCTGATGTTTACGGCATCTGCCTGAGCATGTGGTCCTGTCGGTTTTATCTCGTGTTAGCCAAAGGTCCAGCTAGGGCGTTGAATACATGCAGCAGTTTCCACAAGTTTATCTTCCTGCTGAGTTGTTTGGAAAAAGTTAGTTAAGCCCAATCCCCATGCTCTGAGATAAGTTCTCACAAATAGTTCACAGATTCTTCGCAAAAAAAAAAAAAAAAAAAAAACAACATGAGATTACTTTAAACCCAACAAAAAATATATATGTTTAAATCAGGGACAAATATAAACAGGTGGTAGCCTGGAAACAAGCTCCTGGGGTATTTAACGGAGACTGGTTTGTGAGCATGGAATGGAGCAGGGGTGCAAGTTAACATACATGCATCTCTCCTATGTTTGGTATTTGTTATTGAAGTACACAGCATGAAAATTAAAGCAAGAAATGTGGAGTTAAAGCAAGAAACTGATGCTCCCCTCCCATGGCTTTATGCAAACATACTCAGTCTGCAAACTGGGGGAAGATTTTCTAAAGGCTGAGGCAATTAGGAAGGTCCCATGGTGGCCTGATTCCCGTCCTTCCTCTGCTGCATTCTCCTCGTGTGACCCTGGTCTACCCTGGTGAGATGTAGCCAGGGAAAGCTGCAGCTTCACTTGGGTTTTCCTTGCACCGGCTTCCCAGCCATGGAGCTGGGACACTCTTGCCTGCTTCAAAAAGTGGTTATGTGGGCGAATATGTCAAAGACTGTTCGATGTGCAGCAATTTGGCTAAAGGGTATATTTGCCTTATCTACCTATGGCCATAAGGAGACTGCAGTCAGATGTCACTCTCCATCCTACTGGGATGACCCTGGGACAGCCGGGGGGCTGAGCGCCAGCCAGGTCACACCATCAGGGCTGTGCCCAGACAGGCACTCTGCAGCTACCGGGGACACTGTAGCCCTGCAGTCGTGGCTTTTGCATGATCAAAACCCGACCCTCGTAATCAGATTTAGATTTACTTAAAATATCTTAATGTAAACAGGCTATACCTATTAACTTAGCGCTCCCACATCAGAATTGTTATTTATTTAAGTATTTATAGCTGCTCCTCCCTGCTGCTCCTCCCTGCTGCGGAGATGTGCCTGCACCCCACCAGGTTGCTCTCCAGCAGGTTCCCACATCTTTCACCCCAGCTGCCCAGTGCGGGCGAGGGAGCTGGGGAAGGAGCACGAAGCAGAGGCAGCGCAGGTGAGTGAGCCTCACACACTGCTCATCTCAGCCTGTAATCATCCCCCTGAGGCTCAGGCTGGCTGAGAGAAAACTTCCTTTTGCTCTCCAGCCAGTTCCCCATATCGGGTGAGCGAAAGAAGCAGTTCCTGCTGGAAAGCAGACAAAAAGTCTGCTCAATTTCCTAAGAGCTGAGGCTGCATGCCAGAATCTGCCCAGACGGTCATATAATACCCAGTCTCAGTTGTGAAAGGCTTCTCACTTTTGTTGCTGGTGCTGGACTGACAGCTTTGCAGACTGGCAGGAGGCAGCAGGCGCTCACGCCTACATCTTTGCAGAGGGAGGGCTCCCGCTCCCGAATTTCTGCGTCCCGCTGGGCGATGGGTGCTAAATGTTTTTGCGAACAAGCAAAAATAAACCTGAGGGGCTGTTCCTGGGAGTGCTGTGTGTAGTGGGGGGACAGGGATTACATGGAGTGCAGGGCATTCTTCCCCCAATTCCTTCCTCCCCTGCACTCCCAAGGGAAACAAGTGCTGCTGGCAACAGTCTTTGCAAAGGGAAGGCCCATGGAATGGGTACACAACAGTGCTTGAGGGGGCAAAGAGGCCCTAAACCTGCAGCTGGGCTTCGCCACAGAGAACTGGCTGGCTCCCTCCAAATGGCAATGGACTCGCACGCAGTTGGTGCAGACCACCAGGAGCAAGCCACGCTCCCCCATTACACATACCTGCGATTATTTGGGTTCATTACCTACTTTCTCCAGAGACAGACGGGGCTGCAGAGAGGCTGAAGTACTTATGTGTCATTTTCCGGGGTGCGCATGCCACAAGCAAGATGGAGAACCTGCATTGCAGTCCCCCACTTATCACCAAACCACGCAGGCTGGATAGTGCTCTGCAGCATTCCCCACCGGGAAAGGCAGTGGGAGCAGCCAAATGCGTGCATTACCCTTCACAACTGCAGCGGCATTCTTCCTGTAAGGCACAGCACTAATTACTGGATACGATAGTGCTTGCAAAATGGCATAAGTGATGCTTGCCGCAAACTGCCTCTTAGCATGCAGTGTTTTGTGATGCCTCAGTGATGACTCTGGTGTGAAAGCACTAAACTTTCCCACCTCCAAAAATATTCACCTAGAGCCACAGGATGGTTGGGACTTCTTGGAGAGTGGTGAGACAGCAGAGGAGCCATCTCCTGGGGAGCAGCAACAGTAGTGGGACCAGCACGGTGCAAACGCGTGCTTTGCTCGTAGCAGCTGCTGGGGGGCTCACGGCACTGGTGGGAAACAGGGCAAGGGCTGGCAGCCTTCTCCTGGAAGCCCCACATCCTGCTAGATGGATCCTCCGGCAGCAAAAGCCTCCTGCAAAGGAGGGGCTGCACTTCCCAGGCTCTCTGCAGAAAGACATCAATAACAATTTGCTGCTTTTCCAGAGGCCCCTTATCAACCTACTGTTGCAAGTCTTTAAGGAAGATGTCTGCGATAAGATCCATGTGCTTCCTCTGCTGCTTTGCATAGGGATAGTCACGCAGCTCTTGGAGCTAAAGGAGATTGTTACAGCTCCAGTTTTCTTATTGTCACTAGGCACCTAGGCACGGGGTGGTGAAAACAACCAAGACTGGGGAAAATGCAAAGTACAAATGAGAGTGTGGGGGACGAGTAATTACAGAATACTCTATCAGCAAGGCCAGTTTCAGGATTTCTACAATCTGCTCCCATCAGAAGTATCAGTTCTCCAATCCTGGGCATCAGAGTGTCAGCTGGGCTGACCTTGCACCTGACCTTTGTTATATATGGAGTGGTAATTCATGTTGAGAAAATGGTTGATATTAATAAAGAAGGGGGAGATTTGGGAATGTGGCCATGGGGGTTGGAAAGCCCCGTGGTTGAGATAACATTGGACTCTTAACGACGAGGCCATCAGGAATATAAAAGAGTTTAGAGGGAACAAAGAAGGGTGATTCAGGAGACTCCATGCAGTCTCCAGTTTCTTGTTCTCCAGCTGGTCTCTTGTTCTCCAGCCATTAAGGCATGGATGTTTCTGGGTGTTTGCTGTTGTTGTTACATTCAAAGTTGTTTGACCAATGAAAAGTTGTTTTGAAAAGAACTGCTGTGGAGAGAAGGGTATAAGAAGGGAGCCTGCCCTCAAAAAAGAAGAAGAAGAAAAAAAAGGGACGGTAACACGATGTGATGAAGTTATGATCAATAAAGAAGCAGGAAAAAGGAGTGAAGAGGAACAGGCTGGGAGAATGGAGACCAGGACGGGAACAGGCACTTTGATCGCCTCATGAAGATAGGTTCGGCCAAACTCAGCAAACTGCTCAGAGAAGCTCGTACAGAAAGTCACTGGAAACAGGCACACTGGAGCTGGAGAGAAGCTCGAGCTGAGAGAAGCGAACCCATGCACACAACTGCCTCTCGCTGGTAAGCAGTTGCGCATTATGGGGAATCATACGTCCTTAGGAACAAAGACTGTCCTGGTAACCTTACAGCTTATTCTCCTTATTAACAATCGGACAGGTTATGAGCCTGAAATATGGGACCAAACTGAGGTCAAGGTGTGGGACTCTGCAACTAAAAATGACAAGGTTGCAGTGGGATTGCTCAGCACCTGGCGAGCAGTCTCTGAGGCCTTAAAGAGCCATGTGGGACCACAGTCAGAAGCATGTGGCTTGCCAGATAGTGAGGGAGCTGCGGGCTCCTTTACTGACCCGACTGCTACGCCATGGGCCACCCCACCGCTACTGCCATCGAAGGCCTTTGCTGTTACGCCCCCTGTTGACCTGAACATGCCTTTTGACCCAGGCCCTATTGGCCTTGAAAAAGAGATGGTTATGCCTTTCTTCGATCTGGGAAGAACGGGATACATAAGGCCTAAAGACTGAGTTGCTTGACAACTTAAAGCAAGACATATTGTTCAAAAGGAATGGAAAATGGAGACTTGTTTGTAATCAGGAAAAGGAATGGAAAAATGGAGACTGTTAAGTCATGGAACTTAAAGGATTGTTTGTTACCTTTCCTGATTGTACGTATGTATAGGCATACTTGGGTTTAGTATGTAAAGCAATGTTCTGTATATTTAGAATGTTTGATGTTCGTGTGTGCATGTTGGTGGAGTGTAGACTCCCCGCACACCCAGCGCTGTTTACTTGCCTTTTATACCTTTTAGAAATATTTGTTTTATAAATATTACAACATTCAGATTGAGTTGAGACCTCATTTATAACACCTTGCACCCACCAACAAACTGTGCCAGCGCCACTCTATGGGGCACTGAGTGCCATGCAGGGCATAACCTGAGCTAGGCAAGTCAGGTGAGTCCAGATTCTAGTGAAAAAACAAGTGAGCCCTTGGAAAGAGAAGACATTTTGAAGGCCACAGTCACAAGCAGCATCTTCTCTGCTGAGCCTTTTGATGCTGAGGGTGCCCAAAGGTTAAATGTGTTTGGGGAACCTTTCCCTTATGGAGCTGATGGGGGGGATGCAGAAGGCACACTGCCTTCTTGCCCAGCCCCACTGCACTCTGAATCAGCAGCAGAGGGTGAGGCTGAACATAACTTGAGAAAACAAGAACAGCCACCCTAAAAGCTCAGCCTGTGGCCTCCAGGCTTGTTTTGGTGAGGTCTGCATGAAGACGGGTGGCAGATCCTGGCACGCCAGGCTGTGTCCACTCTGCTGTAGCTCAACCTTACCATGTCCACACCATCCCTGGGGAGGGTTAACGGGATAACCCCAGCTCATGAGACCCGTCTCACCCAACTCGTTGCATCTAGCATTGAGTTGTCTGCTTGAAATAGTCCTTCTCTCCGCATGGCCTTCTGCTCATGCAGTAAAGTTTTCAAGCCCCCTGAAGATGCACAAGGTGCCACCAGCCCTTACATCTCATCTAGAGGTCCCTCTTCCCAGCTCCCTGATAGGGGTGGCCTGGTCTCAGCCCCTTAGAAAAGATGCCGATGGCAATTCACACTTGCTCTGTTAGGAAGAGGCCACCAGCATGGGGCACTGCTGGCCCCACAAGGAGCTACAGGCTGGAGCTACTCATGCTGGCATGGCTGCTGTGTCCATGGGAGGCCTTTCCCTAATGTATTTGGGACAACTTGAAGGAATTGGCTTGGTGGCATCTACTTGTTTTACAGTGACGTGCTGCATTTAGTTGAGGAGGAGACTTGTGTTCTCCTATTACCCAACCAGAACTCCCTGGGAGGATGGTAAGAAGAGATTAGTTTGTTTATTGTATCAAGTAAACCAAAATGTTGATTATCCTCCTTGTCAGCCTCCTAAGGAACTCAAAAAAGAGGTACTTAACAGCAAATTGAATTAAGGCCAGAGGAACAAAACCCTGTACCCAGCCGTGAGAAACTCCTACTCCTTTCCACTTCAGACAAGGGAAACAATTAAACATGACTCTTGCTCGCTCCCTGGATCTGGAACAGCAGAAGGGATTCCTATGAAGATGGAAACCATTAAAAGGCAGTTACTGGAGACAATGACAAAGAAAATAGGGTCACTCACCAAGCCAGCCAGGGCAGTCCCATGGCTCACACTAGGCTGGAGGTGGGGGCCATCACCCTCACCTGCGGGACCACTGGGGCTGTCTGAGGGGGACCCCAAGGTGCGCACGGATAGAGCCACCCCGTCTGCACACACAGGACACCGAGCCACCCAGACGGCCAGCTTCGTCCTGCCTGTCTGAAGACATAATAACCCTGGGAGCAGAGGATGTGATCTCATCCCAAGGGTCCGGGGAAACACAAAACATGGAAAGAAAAAGTGGCGAGACCATCACGCTTGATTGCAAAGGGCTCCACCCTTGCCCACCGGATGCTCTCCGCTTTCCTGGCTCTTCTGAGGGCGCATGGCAGCAAATGCAAATAGTTGTGTTTACATCCAGCGGAAAGGGCTTCGGGAGCTAACAATGCTGGGTATGGAGGGCCACGCAAGGAGGAGGGACCATCCGGTGAGATGGTATCTAGCTTTGTTTCTTCTCCAACATAACTGCTTCCTCTGCCTTCTCCGTCGGTCCCCAAGAAATGAAGATGCTTCCCCACCTCTCCTGCGGGGTGAGGGGACACTGGTGGCCCTGGCTGTCCTTGGTGGCCTCAGCTCTGCCCTAAATGCAGCTCTGCCTGCAAAGCTGCTCCAAACCCATGCAAGTCAGAGTAACTGTGATGGAAACCTACATGGAAGAGAGAAAAGCCCAGGGTCAGCAGTTGTGTGTATGGGAGTGCATTCTCCTTGGAAATTGTATCTCTGGCATGAGAGCCCTCCCCTATTTAAAATATGCCACTGCAGTTTTCATGCTCACCGTCTAGGGCCAAACAAAGTCCTGTAGCTTTCTAAGAAAACATGTTCCCATGCTCAAAACAGTAAGCTGAGCAGTGAGGCTCCATGGCATCGCAAAGACCTTGTCAGTTTGGTGTCCCCATCCCTTCTCATCATCTGCTCTCGAGGTGAGATGTCTCGCAAGTGCCCACCTCAAACGTTCTGGTTTGTCCCTGTCCAAAGTGGGGAAGCACAAACTGGAAGAAATCGATTTTCATCATGCCTAAAAGGCATTTGTCCCCATGGTCCGAGGGGACACCAAGGAGGACACTGCGTGGGGACAAGGTCAGGCAAGGTGTCTCTTCTTGAGGCTCATCTCAACGACCAGCACAGCTTTTTAGGTGTAACAACTTAACACTGATTTCCTCCTTTCTCCCCACCCCCAGTTCCTCTTCCATCAGGATTTATATTTTCATTATTTTCTCTGGTCAGGCCTGGCCACGTGGAGCTACCTGGGCAGCAGGGTGGCACAGGGTCAGGATCTGGCCTTCTTGGTGCCTTCACTTATATGATAAAGAGGTAAATCCTGTCTTGCTCTCTGACTGGGAGCGTAATCTTACAATCCTGTCAAAGACCCTCTTTCAACTCAAAAGCTTGATGCTTTTTAAAAAGTGAGAGCGATTAAAATAAAAAAAAAAAACCTCCACGTTAAAAGATACAATTTTCTTTCCCAAACAGCACCACCCTCCAGCTCATCTGGCTGCAGTCAGGAAGGTTTTCCCTCTCTCTTCCTCTGAAGGAGACAGTGAAAAGGCAGATCCCTCTTGAAGTTCAGACATTAATTACTGTGTTAGAATATTTTTCTAAATTACACAGTATGGCCCCAGGAGATAACAGGCACTAAGAGAAGGGAGGGGAGTGGATACCAGTCTGCATGCTGCACCACAGACTCAGACGTGGGGGAAAGGCAATCAGACAGGGAGTATTTATCCTTCCTGCATGACCACCTCAAGGCTTTAAGTTAGCAGCGCGTACCAAGGCAGGGAAGTGATGGGACCGTGCCAGGATTTTAAACAATGCTGAAATGGGACCATCTATGCCAACCAGACTGGAGGCAGGAGACGCTCCTGCAG